CCATGAATTTTTTAATTATCCGTCCAAAACAAACTCACCCCCCAAAAAGTGAATGTTGCCAAGCCCTCCCAGCGGCCATTTTTCAAATGACATCCCTAATCTTCCGGGGGCTCTTCTGACTAATTTTCAATCCCATTTTTGTCTGCTTTGCCCCCAGATGGGTGCCCCTGAATCTACAGAGATGATCCTGGGCCATACTGACACAATTCCACCATTTCTTGGCCCAAAAAGACCCCTCTTTTCGAAACAATCTCTGGGGGTACTTTTTCTGCGCCTCCGCCTGGCGGAGAATTTTCCTTGAATTGGGACACTGCACCCATAGTGCAAACCTGTGTCCTTCCTCGCCTCCGTGGTACGTACATGGTCACAATGAGAGGTCAAATGGTACCAGTTAGTGCATGTACTAATGGTTCGAGACGTGGTGGTGTCGCGAACGTCGCTTGTAAACCTGAAACCTAACCATGACAACAGAAACTAGTCGTTTCAGAAAGGAGGACCATGCCGCTATCTACCTCAGAAGTCACCCCGATTGGCCACCAGAAATTATCCAGAGGAGCTTGAGCTTTCTACGGGAAAAGGTACGTTATATTTGTAACACAGGGAAAGAATTCCATGGTGGGGATGTGTGCATATACGGACGCCATTCCGTGCTACAGCTAAGCGTATATTTAGGAACGTGGTGCACTTCGACGTTCACCTAACTTTCCTCACGCAGCATTGCCGAACCTCTGTCTTGAAAAACTTCAAACTCATTTAGTAAACCTTTGTGAACAATTTCATTGCCATGAAATTTCGTTTGAAATCCAGAACTGCCGGTGTCCGGATATTGGGCTCGACTCCGCTGAGTGTTCCCTTATGATGCACATCAATTTCAAATCTCATACATAAATATTTACAAAATCATTAGAAGTTGATAAGTTCTTGTAAAGCATTACTTCCACTCAAGAACCCATCCACAAGTTTGTCAGAAAGTTCTCTTCCCTTTGGGGCACATTTTATTAGAGTTCATTTTGCTCGTCAGAAAAAGGGAAATCGGGCGAAAATAAAATTTCATCCAAACTTTGTAGCGTGTACCGATTCGTAAAATCGAGATTTATGAATTAAAATATGAGAAACTTCATGAAGTTTCGTTCATTGTGAAATCTGAGCAAAAACTATTGCTCCATTTAAACACAAGAAGCGAAAATAAAAGTGTGCCACGTTCAGCCTTCAGCCTTCGGCCTCGCTACTTCAGGGTACATCAATAGCCATATGAAAGCAGTACTAAGTTGTCATAGACAGTCAAATTTAGCAGGGAAAGTACCGAGCATTTCTTTAGAAAACACAAAAGGTTTGTGCATAGGGTGTCAAATGGCGTCCGAATATGGAACTATTTCCCTTTGAACCACTGTGAATAACTTATTTCTTTATCATGAATGTGGCCAAGGCTGAGTCTAAAATATAATTCAGAAACATTGGCACCAATTCAGTTGATGGGTATTATCCAGGGGGCGCACTTGAATAAGTATAATAAGAATATATCTCTCAGAAAATCCCAAATTAACGTAACAGTGATCATAAATTCTGATAAATCGTTAATTTTATTCCACTCATAACCAACTACAAGTTTGTAATAAAATCATTTTATTAATCTTATATTTGGATGCATTTAAAAGATCTCATCTCGCATTGATGTGTGGAGGTAGCTTCAGCAAGGCGTTGAAGGCAAATGTATGTAAGCCATTTTACTTTTTAGGGCTTAGCCACGTTGGAGTGCACCAAAAATATGCATCAAGCCAGGACTGATGTGACTAGCTGGGTTAGACTGAAGGTGCAGAATGTGGGCGGGGACCATGGCCCCAGTGAGTGGGGCAAGGGGGTTCCCCCCCCCCAAAAAAAATCGAGAAATAAAAAAGGAGTAGAAAGAGATGAAAGGTGATAAAAAGCTTGAATACACAATCAAAATGGACACCTCTCAATTTGCTGCTGATGAGTGCTTCGCCCTCCCACTGGAAATTTGTCCCTCCCCCTTGAAAAAAAGCGTTTTGGTTGGGTAACCAATACCCATGGATGATGAGACTGGACACAATGTGGAAGTTGTATTGGCTTTATACAGGCTAACATAATAATGGAAATAACCTCATATACAAATACAAGTGAGAAAAATTATGTCTGTGATTTAATAAAGGAAAAATTATGCACAAGCTGTGAAAATGTATATTTTATCCAGAATTCGTCATTATCGGACGCATAGCACCCTGAGGCGAAGCGGAGGGCGCTATGTGTCCCTTGGGTGTTCAAAACGTCATATCCCACACCACAGCGATCAACAATAAAATTGTTAAGTGCACTAAACCCCTAGGATGTATGTAAAATCCTATTAAAATAGGAGGGTTTTCGACTGTAACGGTTAAGAAAGTAGTAACTCATTGGTTATCTGGTGTGCTGCACTTGATAAAGGTACCATTTGTGAAGTTTCGATGCTGTTTAACTCTTCAGTTTTTGAAACGTTCTTCTTTCCCCAGCAATGTAAGCTTTCAGAAAAAAAGAGAGAAGTTTTCTTTTTCTAATTTGATATTCAGACAGCAGAGCCTTTTAAGCTTGCGGTTGATGTAGGGTGTGGATCAGGCCAGAATACCCGACCTTTGGCCCCATATTTTGAAAAAGTCATCGGTGTTGACGTGAGTGAAGCACAGATAAAAGTTGCACAATCTTTGAAGAATCCACCAAATGTTGAATTTAGGTAAGGAAATGTTTCAGGTGCCTCTGTTTTCGTTTTGACTTTTGAAGCGAGGTTAGACTTCAGTACCGGTATGTATACATACCTGACAAAAGTCATTTGGATTATATTTAGAAAGTTTTCAAGTGATAAGAAACGAGTCAAATTCAGAATTGTCTTCTCCTGTAGGACAGTTTAACAAAGTCACTGTGGCTGTGGGTTTCAGAGTTGTGAATAGTTACAATCATCAAATATTTGTCATCTGTTTTCATCAAGAAACAGGTCAATAAAAGGTTTCAGAGTGTGTACAACGTGATTTAGATATCCATTCATACATCCAACATTTTGATTTTATTTTGACTTTAGAACAGGAAGTGCTGAGGACATTGCTGTACCAGACAGGTCTGTCGACTTGATCACATGTGCAGAGTCAGTGCATTGGTTTGATGTTGATGCTTTCTTTCGTGAGATGGACAGAGTACTGAAACCCAATGGATGCATTGCGATCTATTCGTACAACAATATATTGCCCTGGGTTGAAGGTGTTGCCGTTAAGAATGAACAATTAAAGGATGTGGTTATGCAGGTGAGTAGTTTTCCAAACACTGGATTAGTATTTCTATCACAAGACGAGGGGTACATTGCCATTTGCTCTGATGGTTTTCTTTTTGCAATTAAATTGGCCAGTTCTTTCATCCCTTATATAGTCTGATTGACAAAGAAGATAATTAAGCCTGGACAAGGGTGAAATAAGACTGGTGTTCGGAAATCTTATGCAAGAAATCTGCCTTACATCAAAGTTGCATGATCCGTCACATGCATGCACTTAAAAGCATCGTCTAAGTGATGTATTTCACCTGTGATCTCGCTTATGAAGCAATGGTCGTTATTATGTGTCGTGAATAATTATACGACCTTTCCTGAAGAGAATGTTGTTTATGGTAGGAATGTTTTTTTCATCAATTTTCCGTATCTGGAAACACAATAAAAATGTTGTGTTTGTTTTTCTCATTCATCAACGACAGTTCAATTGTGTAACTTTAAGACCTTATGCCAGCCAATGTTCACAGCATCTTCGTAACATGCTAGCAGATATCCACATCCCGTATGACGAAACTATAAGGTATGGACCACTTTCTACTATTGTGAATGAGCAAGCTGGTGCTTTGTTACTCGGCAAGTTCTGGAGTGTTTGCCTGAGTGTGTTGAAAATCTGTAACCGTACCTGTCTGAAGATTATAATTGAGATGAGCTGACTTGTCTGGCGAGAAGTTTCTTCTTTCTGATATTATTTAGCAATTACTGTGCGTTTCCCCGAGCTTGTGTCGAGAATCTTTAACTGTACCTGTATGTGGGTTTTTTAGAATAATTGATTCGTCTTATGAAGAATGTTGTTTTTGACTCAGGGATGAGTCATTTTATTTACAATATGACACTTCAATGGAATCGTACATGAGCTACATCCGCTCCTGGTCCACGTATCAAGCTTACCTGGAGAAGAATCCAAGTGGTCCTGATATCCTAAAGGAAGTTCAGGAACGGTAAGAACACAGACAGGTATCCGTCATTTTGGCATTTACACTCATATGATAGGTACTGGATGAAAAATTGCTCAAGTTCAACTTGGATATGAAACTGTATTTCCAAGCCTATCTGTAAGTGGGTCAAGTTAGTGTGCAGGCTTTCATCCACGATAATAATCTCTGTCTTTCCTTGGCTCCGTGCTCATGCAATTTTAAAAACTGCCTTTCCTTTCCCAGTAAAAGTTTGCGACAGAAACCACATGGTGTTGTCTGAGCCCACATTTCCAGTATACTTCATGCTGTGGACAGAAATCTATACATTTATTCAACATTGTTGGAGATTTGCTCAAACATGAGGGTTATTCACCTTTGTATTTAGAAAAAAAATGGCCTGTAGGAGTAATTTTTGCCTGTCCCCAGGAAAGGTGGCTACGTGAAACAGTGTAGGTGTGCTTTCATTGTTGATTTTGTTAATATTTTGTTAACGTCTTTTCCAGGTTGATGCAGATACTGGGTTTGGATTATTCCACAGGAAATGCCAAGGTACCCACAAAAACTCCAATTGTCCTGCTTCTGGGAAGAAAACCACACAAGGAGACCTCTTTATAGGCGAAAAGCGTTGTTTGTGAAAGTTGGCAATGAACTTCGCCGTTGTCACAGCCAAAAATATCCGAATTATGAGGAAATATTGTCTTTGTCCAGGGTCTTCCTTATGAATATTAGATTGCTACAAAGAATACCAGATTTCGATCAGTCTGTTTCACAAAGAAGTGTCATTTACAAAGTAAAGTGACATGGCTCGATTGAGAGCAAAGGCCTTCACAACTCATTGTCTTGAATTATGTATCGATCAGCCATTTGTTTGGTCTGTGTATATAATACTGATTTTTTTAAAACAAAATGTAATATTGAAAAGTATAGCGCTGAAATGTTTTGAACGATGTTAGCGTAAGCTATTAATTATTTTGAAACTCCATGGCCTTATAAATAAATTGAATTTTTGCTGAAATTAAATACAGTCCAACACTCGCGCGTACTCCATTCGTTTGCACAACACTTTCTTACATCGGACGTTGGTACTCTGTACCAATTGGCGCCGTGAATTGTTTTATTGCTACAATATTTCTACTTCATACAGTATTTGATGTAATTATCTAACATTGGCTTTACCAGTAGTACAGTATCTGGTTCGTAATTGTAACTCAACTCCAGTTTAAACCACGCCCACTGTACATGCACTACACATAATGCATTGATCGCTGTCTACATGGAATCATGAAACCGCAAGTTAACACGCAACTTCAGCGATCGTCCAATATGGGAGCCTGCAAATCGTGGCGCGTCCATTTTTAAAGCTTTGTGACGAAGTCACTTACAAATAGTGCAGTGTTCTTTCCTCTTAATGACGTTGAGAATTGATGCATTGAAAACTGAAAAAAATAACAAATCCTCCTTAATTTGGCAAAATGAAAATTGATAAAAGGGCAAACAGAAAACAATGTAAACTTGTAATATAGGTTTTCCCGGCCAATTTCATCAAAAGCTCGTTCAGTTTAACCAAAGGCCCTTTTAAATTCGTTTCAAAATGACTGCTTTCCCGGACGAACATTCTATTATTAATAGAAGTCATTCCATTTCGCTATTTGACGATTCTGTCGAGCAATACGTTCGTCCACATTCAAAAAGTCGTTTCGTTCATTCAAATTCGTCAAAGGCCTTTTAAAAAATGACGTTGATCAGAATCTGATTTAGTTTAATAGGCAAACATTTCTGAAATATTTGTACCGGAAGTCAAATTTTTGACGCGTATATTTCCCTATAAGAATGCTGATGTTTGAGGAAAAGATTATTTGAACGGTGGATTTTGGTACAGCTCTCTGTTCTCATGAAGACTTTACACAAAATAATGGTGGCTCGTGGTCCTTACAGAAATGTGAGCAATGTACATGTATGTGTGATTATTGCTTTTGGGGCGATAACAAACTTTTCTTGACTTGTAATTTGAAAATCTCCTGATTTGATTTCATATGACTCAAAGAGAAAGGCGTGATCACAAACTAAAGATTAAGGATTCAAAGGAATGAATTTATAACAAGACAATGGTCAGAGAACAAAACAGAGTAATTTACCGTGCAAGACAGCCCTAACTACTCCAAGACACGACACCAGGGGTACGTTGCCATTTCTCAGATTAATTTATAGTTGTAATTAATTTGGCCTATTCTTTTATCCTTATGATATTCTGATTGGTCCATTCTTTCATTCCTGTAGTACCCCAAACATTACAAACAAGATATGCTACAAGAGAGTCAAATAAGACATACAGGTGTTCTGAATTAACTCTGTCGAAAATCTGCCTTATGATCACATGATCTGTCATAATGTAAATTAAGCATAGTATGGGTGAGTTCAATAAGCTTCCACGAGTTGACTTCGATCTTAAGCTCATCTGCATCATCTCGCTTGTTTGGCACATCACACACGACCATCCTCAGGTCAGGGTTAGCCCGTGTATAAGCTAACTGTATGCACCCTGCCAGCATGGAGCCATAACCTTTTTATGGTGTCTGATACCAGTAACATGTTGCATAATATGATATGCTATGAATAAGGTACTTGTTCATAAAAGTTTACAGGTGGTCGGGCACCATCAGGTTTGTGTACATGTAGTTGTAATTTTTTCTCTCATGTGTATGGCATCTTCATAATATGCTTCCAGAAACCCACATCCGATATGATAAGACTGCCATTAGAAAGGCAGAATGCACATGAATTTAATTTGAAAACAACAGAAACAAACCTCAAGAATTATGTTTGGATTGTCATGTTAACTGCTTTGACATACTAGAGTTGAAATACCAATGAAGTCATATCGACTTGAATTTTTTTTTAAACTGACGAGAACAGGCGACGTTGCGTATTATTTTTATAATAAAAATCCAGAAGTAAAAGACTTCAGTTTGTTGCACTTGCATGTTATTTCAGTTATTTTGGGGAGAGAGAAAAAGAGGTGGTCTGCATACACAGTGAGGCACCTGCCGCCACACACTGTGAGGCAGCGTTGCCATCCCCTCGGGTTCGTGTTTGCAAATTCCAGCAAACCATCAAAACACGAGGAAAGTCCTGCTGAGAGTTTTAGAAGCATACAGACGTCCTTCAAAGAACATTGGGATATTTGGGGGATTTTTTTATGCAGTGGCGTAGCTTGGGCTAATTCTGGGGACAACCGGGGGGGGGGATGAACATATTTTGTTCAAGGGGTCACGACAAGAAAATAAGCTGGAGATGTATTCACTGCATAAGTATATAAACTCAACGGAGATTTCAGATGGGGGGCATGGGCACCCGCTGGGCGGCACGTCCCCCCCACCACCACACACACACACAGCACACATTTATGCCATTGCCCCAACGTGGCTTAGGAAAATTTTTGGTCATAAATACTTGCCTTCCAAGAAATTTAGGACATATGGTGTATGATTGCCATCAGGAAAAATGCTTCAAGTTGCTAACAGACTTTGACTAATTGTATTGGAAAGTGTGGAGCACGCAACAGTGAAAGATAGGCCTACTGCTAAACTGGAGAAGATAGCGAGAATATGACTTATGATATTGCATCACTTAAAAAATCTGATGGGTGATAGATACTTGGTGGACAAAAAATGCAACAGCTTGTTTGAAGTGTACTAATGGAGTGTATTGGGAAAAGCACACAACTGTAAGACAATAGGCTGTGACCACTACAAAGCATTATGCGTAATGTCTAGTCGCTGTCGAGTACATGACAAAGGTTAATGTGGATCAAGTGCACTCGTGTACAACCAGAACCATCCTCAGAACGTGACACAACTTGGTGCGACCTACCTACAAGCCATGTCGACAGAAACTAGTCGTTTCAAAAAGGAGGACCATGCCGCTCTCTACCTCAAAAATCGTCCCGAATGGCCCCCGGAAATTATCAAGAAATGCTTGAGCTTTTTACGTGAAACGGTAGGGCGAGGTTTTACTCATGTGTACACGTGTAGGGTGTTTTTTTTGGGGGGGGGCATCTCACGTCAACCTGTATGCCGTCAGTATCACCATAGAGCAAGGACTGTACGGTCGGTCTCATTCCTCATGGTCAAATCATCGATAACAAGGACTTATACACAGACCCAAATAAGGAGCCTCAACACACTAACTTTTCTGTTTGAGCTGATGTCACAGCCAAGGAACAAGTTCATTGATGGCAATCCGGTTTTAAGACAAGAAAATTTCAACGCAAGTTTTTATAAGTGGGCACACCAGACACGAACCATGGGCGCACCAGGCCCAACCATGCATGGGCACTCCATACCAGACCCGAACCATGAATGGCTAGCCTACATTGCATTGTTATGTTGCATTTTTTTTTTCCACGCTACGAGCTCGCTCCCGACGCGGAAGCGCCACCTCTGAATGGCTAAACTGTTTTACCAAACGAGATTTGCATGCACAGTATCTTTTGAAAAAGGAGATTGTTTGGCCCCCAAAATGGTGAGATTGTGTAAATCGTTGCCAGGATCAACTCCCTGGGTCTTTGAGCTTTCATATGAGGGCAGAAGGGCTGAAAACTACGGTTGAAAAATGGTCCTAAGTGCCTGAGAAAGTTGAGGGATGCCACTTGAAAAATGGCTGCAATCAGACTTTTTGGGGGGTGATTTTGTTTTGTGGGAATAATTAAAAATG